GGCAGTTAGACGATTACTTCCAATTTCAAGTCATACTGGAATAAGCGGTAAGTAATAGGTAAAGAAGGGACATTGTTTCAATTTTTTTTGAAGCAGAGTTTCGTATGTCCCGTGTATCCGCCCGGAGGGGTCGATCGGCAAGTCTTTCATGATTCGCCACCATTTGCCCTTATAGAAAGGTGGTAGAGTGGGATTTACAAGGTCTTATAGGTTTATAGAAATGGGTGATGTCGATTACTCATAATCATTTCAAATCAACTTTAGATTGTAACTGGGTAATTGTAATCCCACTAGCAATTAAAGCATCGGAGTGCAACACTTTCAGAAAGTCTAAGCCTAGTTTACCAAGTCTACTCGTATGTTGAAGTTTTGGTCTACTCAGTCTAGGCTGGAGTTTGGTCTTAGGAATAATAAAATATAGCATGTTTGATTTTGTTTGTTTGTTGTTTTGCTGCTTGATACACTCCTGAACTAATTAACATCGTATTCTCAAGGTTTTTAAATTCAGATGCACTTGTGCGGCCTTGCTCAAGCCCCTGGGAATCCTGTGCTAGCCTGCCAGATCAACTTGGACAAAAATTTCGCCTTCATCGAGTTCCGATCTATTGATGAGACAACTGCGGGCATGGCATTTGATGGTGAGTTTTGTATACTTCATATTCTATGGAAAAGATTAGTCAGTTCGGATGAATCCAGGCATTAACTTCATGGGACAACAGCTCAAGATTCGGCGCCCTCGTGATTATCAGCCAATTAGCGCAAGCTTTGACATGGCCTCTAGAATGCCTGGTAAGTCACAACACAGTCCCCCTTTTCAGCTGTCAGAAATTCGTAATATGGTTTCAGTATCGAACATTGTTGTTGATTCTCCAAACAAAATCTTCATTGGTGGCTTGCCCAATTATCTCAATGAGGAACAGGTATGATATTATTTCTATACTTTCTAGGGGTGAGATTCCGTCCAAGGTCTGCTGCGTTTATCTTGTCTTTGAGAAATTTTGCGCGCTTGGGCAGAACATCTTTTTGAGAAGTCTCTTTGGTAGGATTTCAATTTTTGGGATGGTTACTAATGTGTTGAGCGTGTTTCAGCGCTCGACGCTGTGGCCCTCGTACTGCTACGTGTACATTCACTACATCGGATGAGACTCGAAAGAGCACCTGAAAGATCTATATCGGATTCGCTTTTGCAGAGCGTCTGCAGCTTTTTTCAGCAGATTTTAGCAAACACCCCACCGAAAGCAACGCACACACAGCCTTCAGCCTACATTTCAGCTCTTGTTCTCTGTCTTTTAGGCTTTTTAGCGCAGCGCAAACGGTGTATGATGGGGCATGGTGGTATGTGTTATATGTAGGCAGGTTTTTCGGTTTTCATCCTTGTTCGAAGCTTTTGTGAGGATTCCAAAACTCAAATTGCTGTAGTAAAGCTTTGTTCGCGCGCGTAAAAGATTAAGCCGCCTTTTGTACGTTAGCGAATGAAAGTTCTCTGGATCACATATAAATATTTTTAGATTGTTTTGTTTTAGGTCAAAGAACTGCTGTGCTCGTTTGGACAGTTGAAGGCGTTCAACCTAGTTGTTGACTCGAACGGTGTTTCAAAGGGTTTTGC